TAGGCTAATAAAAAAATTTTAAAACTAAGTACGAGCTGAGTTAAAATACAAAAATAAATAATTTGCAGATCTCTACAATAGCTTCAAAATAATCTCTAGTTATCTACAAATATTTTTTAATACCCAAATCTACTTATTAATAGTCTAAACAAAAATACAACAAATTTTAAAATAATCTAACTTCTTCACCTCTTTGATATTTCAATTTTTCTATATCTATTTATCTCATAGCCTAATATATATAACTATATAGCTCTTCTATTAGAAAATATAATTAATTAACATTCAAACTATCTAAATTTTAAAAAACAATTATATAACAAAAAGATACTATATCTTGACCAACTAACTATAGCTAAATATAATATACTTCTTGACTAGAAATATATTTTACTAAGAATTTAATATCTTTTTATAGGCAGAAAATCTGCTTGGTTTATTTACTTAAAAGATACTATTTTAACTCATAAATATACTAGAGAAATATCAGATTCTCTATATCTTAAAGCTTCTATTCTATTCACTTTTACTATAGAATATTTTAATATTATATTCAAAAAACTATAGCTTATTACTTACTATAATAATAATATTATTATAGAAAAAGCATGAAGATTTAATAAGTCTTCTAACCAAATATCTATTACTTACTAGCAAGTAGACTATAACTTAACAACTACAAAATATTATCCTCTATAACAAATTAACTACAAGCTATACTTAGGATATGAACTAAACTCAAACAGAATTACAAATTGCTATATAACAAATATTTCTACTCTACTGTCAATAAAATTCTGAAATAGAAAAATTAAAAATGATCCTCTTAACTATCTCAAACTTAATGCTAATTATATTTATTTAATATACTCTGTTATAATTCAACATCTACTTAACATTCCTCTACTACCTATATTTCTACTTTCTAACTCTTCAATTCTTGATATTTTTAAAGAAAACATATTATCACTTCAACTTTAACAAATTGCTAATACTAATTTTAATTTTTAACAACTTAGATTCTATATTGATAGCTCTATAAAAGATATTACTACAAACCAATACTCATCAGACATTGAATGAATACAAGTTAATAATAATATTATTATTATATACTCTTACTCTGCACAAATTCAATACTAGTTCTTATCTTATTCTTTAAATTGTAGGCCAATATAAGCAAATTTGCTTGTATTTTTGCATTTATTCAGCTCTGATTTACTTTTTTAAAATGCAAAAATATTAAAAAAATAATTATAGAAAATAAAATTTGAAAATAAGAATTATCTTTTTGCAATATTTGTTTTTAGATTATAAGAAAAAAATTTAGTATTATATATAAGCTAAAAATAGCTAATTTTGTAAAAAAATTTTTTAGAAAAATTTTGTCAGTATTTCAAGATGAACTTGTTTAATTTAAGTTTTAGAAATATAATTTATTAAGCAATTTAATAAAACTTTTAAAGAATTACACCTTTAATTATTACAACTTTTGTAATTTACTTGTAAAAATTTATACTTGTATTAGAAGTAAAAATTATTTTTAGTCTCGTTTATATATAAAATTTGAAAAAATTTAACTAAAAATTTTATAGTAAAAATTTTTAAAGCAAAACTTTAAAGATTTATTACTCAAAACTTTTATAATAATTTTAAAAAACTTTCTTAACAAAGTTGTTAAAATAAATACTAAAAAATATATTTTACTTAAAAAGTATATATTTAAAGTTAATATTTAAGGTTTTATTTTAAAAATTACAAAAATTAAAAGTGAATTCAGATAAATTTGCCTGTGTTACAATTTAAGAGATAATTTAGAATCTATAATACTAAGATTATATTTCAGACTAACAATAAACAAAGTATATAACTTTGTTTACTGCATGAAATTACATATCTACAGAGTATTTTTTTTTTTTTTTATTATTATAACAAAACTTTAATATTAGTTAATTTTTGTTAGATTATTTGTAGGTTTATATTTTTTTTTTTTTTTGGAACTTAGGCGATTTTGCCCTTTATTTATTGAGAGAAAACATAAAATATGTTATAACAAAAATATAAACTAAGCTAAGCTAGTTATATAATGTCCTCTTCATGCAAATCCGAACTTACTCGGCTACCAAACGGTATCTAAGTGCGATCTAATTGCAATAGTCAAATTTTCCTCCCATAAGAACAGTTTGCCGAAGCAAAGTCATGTTCAAATGATCGACAGAAGCTTACTATATACTATTCTTATCAAGATTACCTAATTCTCTAACCTTCTTCTTCTAGCTTTCTGAGCCGAAGGATTTATATTCCAACTGACTAATGAAAAAAACAAATAACAAGAAATATAAAAAGGAAAAAACAAAAAGAGGAAAAAAGCTGCCTAAACGAAAAAAAAGAAAATACAAAAAGAAAATGAAAGAAGAAAAAGAAGGTAGAAAAAAAGATAATCAAGATAGAACATACTATTATAGCCTGTGCTAAGACATAAAAGATAAAAATTATTTATAGTACTAACATATATACTATAAATCTCAAGTATAACTTCTCGTTAGCTATCATTCTATTTATGTAAGCAAATCCGTATTGACTTCACATGTGTTAATCAACTTGTAAACAATCAAGACATGACTTGCCCAAAATAGAAGGTGGTACAGGTGCTGATCCTTTGTTGAGAGTGAGCCAGAATCCCTACTTTTTCAAAATGAAAACAAAATGAAAAAGCTACAGTTATCGTATTGGTTTTGTTGGTCAAAGGATAGGGAAGGTTGCTTGCAAAAACCAGTTATGAAGTGAAAGAGAGTTGAAGTGTTTGCTCTAATGCAAAACACTGTTTGTTGTTTCTTCTTCTTCTTTTCTACTACTTCTTTTCTTCTCCTTTTTCTTTAAAATGCCATAACGTAAACTTTCAGCCAAAATAATAGTATTATCACCTGCTAGGTCTTTATGCCTCTTATGTAAAGTCTACTAGGCTATACAACTCGCACTTCTATTTAATAACTACTATTTTGCTGGGTTTCCTAGAGTTTTAAATTATTTTGTATTTAAAAAAAAATTTGCTCGGTAATGGTTTAGGTGATCAGTGAGGAAAGTTGCGTATTAGTATTAATTATTACTTTTAAAATATATTTTATTTAATTTAAAAAATTTCAAATATTCTTATCTTTTAAATTGTTTTCTAGACAAATTTGCCTGAAAAATTAAAATTTATTAAAAATATAAAATATACTTTCATTATAAAATATTTTTTTAAAATATATTTTATAAACTTTATTAAAAAATTTTTTTACTTTGAAGATTTAATAAAATTTTGATATTTATTTAAATCTTTTAAAACAAAATCAGATTATCAAATTGATGCAAAATCATACTTAGTAACAATATATAAAATGAAAAATAAAAAGTTTATTTAACATTATCTTAGAATTTTCAGACTTTGATTGATAAAAACCTAAATATAAACATATACATAAAAATGATATAAAACAAAAGCATAAAAAAAGTAAAAAAATAAGACTTACTGACAAAGCAATCACTATGCTAATTAAAACTTTGAGCTTAAAATAATTTGTAATACTAAACGAATTTTAATTATGAAAATTTCTTGCATTATAACATATCAATCAATAGATATCATCCTTTTAATCAAAATGTCAAACCTTTCTGTTGATACTCCAAAGATTTGAAAATTTTTAGATATGAACGTCCTTTTTTTTTCTCTTGAGTAACAATATAATTTATATTATTTCACATTTGTTTACTTAATTTGGCAAAGTCATTTTTGATCTTTTTCAAAATCTTACTTGTTGGGCTCCCAGCAACCTCTAAAGTGAAGATTTCATAATTTGATAATTTTGCATGGTAAAGTCTGGTCTAGTTCTGTTTACGGGTTCTTGAGAATTTTGGAGTTTAAGTTTGATGATATTGATACTGAATCCCTATAGAGAAAATTTGATAAGAATAATAGAATGTATATTACTTACCAACTAGTATAAAAACCATCGATGATTCTAAAACTTTCATACAAAATTTTAATTCAGAAAAAAAATCTCTTTTCGGAATTTTTTAAGACTAATTCAATTTATTATTTCAATAAATCAGAGAACTTGAAAAATCAACTTTCCCAATTATTAGAATAATTCTACAAGTTTTTTAGTGATAAGATCTGTAATATACATACAATTTTTGTACGATATCAAAAATAAAAGTAATTTGGCGCTCTTTTAAAGCTTCAATTCCCAAATTTATTAATTTCCGTTTCTGTTCCACTTCTTTGAATATATTTTCAGCATTAGGGATCTAAATATTATTATGAATGAATTAAAATTACCAAAACAAAATAAGAAAAAAGGAGCGCATTCGTGTTACTTCTTTACCACTAAAAATAGAAAATATATTATCTAATATCCACTGACCTCTTCGTCTAATTCTACTTTTGCAGGTGGAAACAAATTCCTCAAAAACAGTTTCATTTTTTTCCAATAAATTGCTTAATCGATTAATATCAAAATATGATCCTTAATAAATCTTTTTTGGAAAAAAATTAGAAAATTGAATAATCAACAAACATTTTTATGTACGTACGTCAATAGGTACCTATTATTTTCTGTCTTTTTACGCAAATGGTTCTATATGTTGAAGATAATAATGCTTTGCTTAGAAGGAATGACAACAATCACAGGAGAATAGTCATTTGAAATATGGTTCGCTTTTTTACGGCATCTTACTGGATATTTATTATTTTTACTAATCGCTATCAAGGAATCTATCCAAATTTCTTCTCTACATTTTTCAATTGTCAAGAATTTGAGAAATCCATCATAACTCCAATCATTTATATTAAATTCTTTAAAATAATCGTCTACTTCTGGCATTCTAAAAATAAAGTAAATATAATTAGATAATATAAACTATTATTTCGATTTATTTATTAACATAATTTTTCTCAGCAACTAAATTAATAAACTACTGCACAACGTTCTTTGAGTTCAACTAAAACTGCTGCGCAGTGTTCTTTGAATTTAGATGAATTGAACGATAGACCGCTAACTGTTATGCTGCGTTATTAAACTGCTGCATAACGTTCCTCGGTCTAACGGACGAAGCATCAAACATCATTGAATAATCGTATAACACAATTTCCTTCATAAGTTCTTACCTAGCGAACGTTTTCAATATGTCGATATAGAAATATAATAAAAAACAAGAATTATGCATGTTTTTTTTCAATATCTGTGATATCTGTGCGAAAGAGATAGATTAAGGATCGATAATCATTTATCGTTATACAGAATTGGGTTTTAATTTTTGCAGAATTAGCGTTAGAGTCTAATTTGGGCAGAAATCAAATATAGATTTGGGCAAAATTAGAGTATAAATTTAGGCAGAATTAGATTAGGATTGAGATAACTTACCGGTCAAATGAAATGTCGATTGATCTGCATCATAACTTTAATAATATTACTATAAATTTGAACTATTTATAACTCAAAATTGAAAAATTTAGGTTCCTGCTTTATTTTAGATTGCAAATTATATTTATATGAATTTAATATATTCATAAAAATCTACCGTTATTATGTTTTTTACAACTAAAAGTTTCTTTATAAAAAGTTGTTTTATTGGCTCACGATCACAAGATAAATAATATACGGAAAAATTTTTGTACTAAATTAAATGCGGTCATTTACCCGATATAAATAATTTATTTATCTAATAAGTTATGATTAATATATAAACCTCCTTTCAAAGTGGAGGGGGTAATGTAAAACACAAAATCAATTTGGCTCGCCTAAGCGAACCATCCCCGACAGTGTAACTTAGGAAAAAAGTTCACTTATTCTTGAAAATATACTCACATCCTGTAATTAAATAGAGCATTGATTAATTTAATTTATTAATATGAAAGTTATTATAATCTTTGAAATTTATACTCACGAACTGAAAATTCATATAATTAAAGTATTAATTATAACGATACTCTGATTTAGTGGAGG